CTCCCTTCCTTCCTTCCTTCCAGGACCTTGCCCCATCGAGACTTCGGGGACCCGGACTCCTTTCCCTCTCTCCTGCTCCCTGGAAGAGGCAAGGTGGAGTTCCGCAGTGGAGAACCAGGACGGACTCTCTCTCTCCATCACCATCTGCTCCCCTCCCGATGCCCGCATTGGCCGATACCGCCTGATCGTGGATGCCTCCACACAATATCAGGGCTCCAGCTTCAACCTGGGGGAATTTATCCTGCTCTTTAATCCTTGGTGTCCAGGTAGGTCTTCCCGCTGGGCATGGGAGGAGCCACTGGATGCCTCCTTCTACCAAGCCAGATCAGGGGACATCTCTTTCAGCCCAGATTTCTCCAACCTGATGATTCCTACCTGTATCATCGATGGCTGAGGTTTTTCTGGGTTGCAGAACCAGCACATCTGGAGGGCCTACGCTGACTAGCAGTGACGTCCCAGGGTTTCAGAGGTGATCCTCCAAGACTTTCCTGGCAACCCAGGTGCTGAGTCTGGGAGTTCTGGCCTGTAAAGCAAATTCTTCACCTTCAGCGGCTGAACACATGTGCCTGCTGGGCTCGTATATCATGTGATATCATGTGATTTGGCTGCTTTGGGTCTAGCATGTTGCATGAGGAACTCAACTAATTGTTGTGTACCCCCAGAAACCATGGTTAGGTAAACAATGTCTTAGGGCCCAGCCTTTGTGTGCAGAAGGTGCCATGTGCGATTAGCCTTTGGCAGTCCCAGTTGAAGGCATCTCAGGTCACAACAGGTGGGAAAGAGCATTAGCTAACCAGGATGGATTATACCCAGCAGCCGCACTGATAACATCAGTTGTTATATTCATGGTTTTCCTTTTGCTCACTTGTCTGATATGGGTGGCTGACTCCCAAGAGCTGCGCCCAAGAAGCAGACTTCCCCTGAAAGTTCAGCTGGCCTAGCATTGGTGGCTTCCAGAAGCCAGTTTGGTCAGAGTTCCTCCAGAGGGCTTTGAACTTAGTTATGATGGTGCCATCTTGTGAAGTCTCCTTCTAGGTGTTTCTCTGATTTGAATGGTTATCACTGATTCTTTATTAAAATGCTTTTATATCCTGAGTACATTATACCAGTGCTTCTCAGCATAGCTGGCTGGGGGATTCTGGGAGTTGAAGTCCACACATCTTAAAGTTGCTGAGGTTGAGAAGCACTGCTTTAGACTGTCTTGAATGTTCTGCTGAGAGCCTTACAGCTGAGGGTATAGAAATTTAATAAATAAATAAATAAATAAGCCCCTCCAACCTAATGTCCTCCAAAAAGGATTTCAGCTCCCATCGTCTCAAGCCCGCATAATAGTTGGACATGCTGGCTGGGGAAGGATGACAATAGAAGTCTGTTTTAAACATGCTTCTAACCCACCCCAATCCTGAAGGAGCATTTGTCAATAAAACCAAAAGAAAAACACATCATTGGAGAACCAAAAATTAAATCCATGAGATGCCTGCCCTCGTGGAAGACCACTGTGGACCAAAGCCTTACTGGAACAGCGTCACAAATGGGGCCATCACAGAGAGGGTCAATCGTCTATCCTACGCCCAGAACCTCACAAAGTACAGGGACTCTCAACAGATCCCCTCTAGATGACCAGGCCAGTTCAATCTGTCTGTATGGCAGAGGTGGATTAAAGCTAGCCTGGATCTGGGTTGGTCCTAAGCAAGAGGGCTGACATCAGATCCACCACCAAGTATGAGTCTTCCAGTCCAGGAATTTGCCACTGAGTAAGACAGTGAAGAACTCTTTGGGAACATGATAGATATTAACCACCCCCTCCTGGGTCACTCAGACTCCCCCCTCTGCAAGGCTCTAATGTTTCCTGAAGACCCTGAAGATGTTGGGCAAGCAGCTTCCCAGAGGCGAGGAGAAGGGTCTTGTGGGCCTGGGGTCCCCTCAGTTTCAGTGCCAGACAAGGACCCTCTGCACAAGTCCAGAGATGTCAGCTGATCTCTTCTTGGGCATCTCACTGAAACACAGAGGAGAAAGAATCACTAGGAGACTTTTGAAAGCAAATTAGGGTTTTTAGGGGGAAAGGCATTGACAGTCCTACTGGCTTCTCTTTCAACATATTTTTGTGAAAGGGGACTTTTAACATCAAACATTCACTGCAGCCGAGACTAAACACTGAAATAGCCTGAATGTTATGCCATCTCTTTCCTTGCGCAAACCTCTCTCCACATGTTGATGGAATGTGCTGGCACGCCGAGGCTCAAGGATCCCGTTAAGACGTCTGATCAACGTGCGAGGGAAAACAAATATGATTAACACCTATTTCCTTTCAATCTTATTTCCTCTTTTGTAGGGAGACATGTTGGTGAATTCAAATATTCAAGCCCTTTCGCAGTTGCTATTTTTACTATTACTTCTCACCTAAGAGCATACCCAGAGCATAGGACCAAGGGTTTCCCCCGAGGTGTGTCTATTCGGAAATAAAGCATGAGTCAAGAAGAGCAGGAGGAGGCAGAGAGTGACAAACAAGGAAAAAGTGGTCATTTCCCTAGGAAAATCAGCCCAACACCTCTCTTATCGGAGCTAATTTCAGGATGTTTGGCAGGTTTAGGGGGGCTTAGGGAACAGTTTGTCATCCAGTCTGCCCTTTCTCAACATTAAAAAAAACAAAAACATGCTTTCACTGCCAAAATTTGGTGGCACAACCTTGGGAAGCTGGGGGGGGGGGTGCTACCAACTGGTCAGGGGTTGTCCAAGGGCTGCAGCCCGGCGACCCATTCCTCATGCGTGGGAGAATCCACCAGTGCCCTTGGAGAGGTCCTGAGCAAAGACAAGAACATGGGGTGCAGCCTCCGGTTCTCCCGCCTTGCTGCATTAGAGAAGCCCCCCACCCCTCCCACCCTTTCCCACCAAGCACGACACCACGCCGGTTCATCCTATCCCCGACAAGCACACGTCGTGTTCTCCCGGCCGG